CAGAAAACCGGAAGTGCAAGTTATAGAGCCCTTGCCTTGAGCTGAAGAGCTGAGGGACAGCGCCCAGGCCCAGAGTTCAAGCCCGATGGCCGACAAAAAAAAAATAAATAAATAAATAAATAAAAATAAATCCGCTGTAAGTAGAAAACGAAAAAAAAAAAAAAACACTCTTGAGGCTGGGAAGGTGGCTCAGTGGTAGAGTGCTTGCCTAGCATGCATGAAGCCCTGGGTTCGATTCCTCAGTGCCACATAAGCAGAAAACGCTAGAAGTAGCATTATGGTTCGAGTGGTAGAGCACTAGTCTTGAGCAAAAGCAGTTCAGGGACAGTGTGCAGACCCTGAGTTCAAGCCCCAGGACTGGCAAAAAAAAATAAGAAACCTCTTGAAATTAACCAAAGCTGACACTGATATTGAAAATGAAACACGTGCTGCTCATATTTATTATCTTTTTTCCACTGTGGAAAAAAACACTCAAGCAGAGTGTGTGGTACCTTCCCGTGCAGGCACCAATGCCAGGGACACACCAACAGCCTCCAGGTGGCATTCTGCAGTCTTGGTCATCACCAACACCTTTTAAGGAGTCTGATGTCTCCTTCAAGCTCATTGGTCTAATAATCCACTTAGGGCTGTCAGTCACAAATGTCTCAACGCCTTTCCAAAGGTGTCCTCGACAGTAAGCAACCTTCTGTGAGATGCATGTTTACAGCCTTGGCTCTGAGTCAGACTCACTTAGGGTCAGGAAAGACACTTATCAAACTGAATCCACCTCGATTCTGAGCCACCACACTGGGAAAGGCGGGAGCACATAAAAATGTTTTGTTTTGTTTTATATTCTAATTTAGAAGAGCTAGCATTTTTTTTTTTTTTTGCATTCATCCTGAACTCATGCCTTACAAAGATTTACGGTAAAATCCCTTTGGGCAGGAAGTACTAATGGAGGACTTCCGTGTGGGGCACTAGGAAAGGGGTGAAGAGCAAGACAAAAGAACCCCTGCCATGGAAGTGGAGGTGCAGCTCAAGGGGTAGAGCGCCAGCCTTGAGTGAAAAAGCTGAGGGAGAGCACCAGGTCCTGCATTCAAGAGTTCAAGTCCTAGGCTGGGAAGGTGGCTCAGTGGTAGAGTGCTTGCCTTGCATGCAGGAGGCCCTGGGTTCGATTCCTCAGCACCACATAAGCAAAAAGAAAAAAGCTGGAAGTGACGCTGTGGCTCAAGTGGTAGAGCGCTAGCCTTGAGCTGAAGAGCTGAGGGACAGCACCCAGGCCCAGAGTTCAGGCCCCACGACCGACCAGAAAAAAAAAAAAAAAAAAAAGTATCCTTACCATCATCACGTGGACAGAGTGAGGGGTAAAGAGACAAAAAGGCAACCAAAATACACTCAGGGTGACTGGGACCAGAGACTAACAATGATTTCCTATGTGCTTCTTCTAGAGGATTCACAGGCCTCCATAGTATCTCTCTCCAAGGCTGGCATTTCCATTTTTTTTTACTCAGAGAAATGGGTACAGGAATGAGCCGTCCTCATGGACCTCACATCCTAGGTGCATGTCCGAACTCTCAAGGTATGACATCAGCATCTCTTCTAGGGAGAGGCACTCACCACTTACAACAAAGCCCAGTAGAAAGTAAAAAAAAACACTGTTTTCCATCCTTTTTCCTTTTTTTTTTTTTTCCATTAGTCATGGGGCTTGAACTCTGGGCCTGGGTGCTGTCCCTGAGCTCTTCAGCTCAAGGCTAGCACTCTTGAGCCACAGCACCACTTCTGATTTTCTGGTTAATTGGAGATAAGAGTCTTAAGAGACTTTCCTGCCCAGGCAGGCTTTGAACCAAGACCCTCAGAACTCAGCCTCCTGAGTAGATAGGATTACAGGCTGGGTCACCGGCACCTGGCTCCTTTTTTTTTAACTGAAATACAGCAACAGTAAGTCAGTGTCCTTTTTATCAGCAATGGTAAATTGGAACCACATTGTAAAATTATTTTCAGAGCCTTTCCTAGGATTTTCCCAATAAACATCAATCTATGGTAGACTCAACCTATTTGCCCACAAAGAAAACTACGTACAAACTTCTGATGACTAACACATCCTAGTGTCTGTCGTTTCCCTGGAGCAAATCCCTATTGGCTAGGTATTTCATAATCCGGAGCACTTCCTGTCGTCTTTAAGCCTAGAAATTCCACTGTGTGCCTCTTCTTTTGGTCCAATTATGTAAATAAGACCCAAGGGACCTCACTGTTTACACACCTCAGAGCAGAGGAGAAATCTTCACTCTCTCAGCCTCTGTGTTCAAGATGGAGAGATCCTAAGGCCTGCTCTGTAATTGGATGTGTACACTTCACCACCTCCTATGGCCTCCTACCTGTGGCTGGTGATCCTCATCTATAAAATTCAAGGGTTGATCCCTCTAAGCTGTATTGGCTCCCTCCAATATTTGAACCTTGATCTTCAGATCTCAGCTGCCGGAGTAGCTTGGATGGCAACCATGATTATGGCAGGACTCAAAGGTCTGCTTTGAAATGTCACTTCACTTCTCAGAACGTCACACACACACACACACACACACACACACACACACACACACACACACACACACACACACACACACACACACACACACACACACACACACACACAGTGGCATTCACAATTGCTGGCAGTGTTCCTTAACTTTGGCACTCCTGACTGTGAACAGTATTATTCTTTAGGAGCAGGAGGCTAGACAGGACGTGAATGTTTAAACAGAATTTCTGCCCACTAGAAGCCAATAGCAACTGTCCACTGGCTAAAATTTCCCAATAATACCAAGTGTCTGCTGGGAGGCAAAAAAAAAAAACAAAAAACACTGGTCTTGAGACAAATGATTAACATGGTCACTAACTTGTGGTTAACTTCTCCAGTAACTAGGTTAGTCCTCTGTTCTGGCTGGGCAAGCCCTTTTATTATGCTTAACCTAGCACCCCTCAAAGTTTTCCCTACTGGTACTCCTTCTCTCCTTCCAATGGCCACCACTGCCTAACCACTGTCAGAGGTCCAGTCAGACAGACTCCCTCCCCTTCCCCCACATATACATTTTCCCCCAGCTCTAAACACCCAGAACTCATGAGTGTCTGTAACTGTTCATTTCTGCAGGTATCTTCGTATGTGCCTGTTTCATCTGCTCTCTGAGTTTAAGAATCTTCTCCTTGCTTGTGTAAGGTCCTAGAACACATACTCCAAGTTCCCTGCTTACTGCTGGCACTCAATAAATACTAACCTGGTGTTTCTTAGAATGCCAAACACCAGCTCCAGTTACAAAGAAGTCCCTTTCAAACTACCATTTCAAAACCACATGTGACCACACAAATAAAACTTCTGACATAACTTTGATCTTTGCATGGCCAGTGCCAATCTATCTATAGTACTGGGAAAGTTTAATTTCCAAAAACACATCTGTACCAGGCCAGGTGCTGGTGGCTCACGCCTGTAAATCCTAGCAACTCAGGAGGCTGAAATCTGAGGATCTCTGTTTGAAGCCTTCCCTGAGCAGACAAATCCAAGGGTCTCTTGTTTCCAATTAACTAACAAAAAGCTGGAAGTGGAGGTGTGGTTCAAACAGTAGAACACTAGCCTTAAGTGAAAAAGCTAAGGGAGAGTGCAAAGCCTTGAGTTCAAGCCCCAGTACTGGCACAAAAGCAAAACAAAAACACCACAGGTACTAAAACATTTCAAGTAGGAGAACATGAAGAGGCACCCTAGAATCTTCCAAAGAAATTCATAAAAGAGCTCTATGCAACGTACAACTTAATAGAAATTTTTCAAGAAGGCTAAGTAGTCACCAAAGTTTTTAAATGCTGGAAAGAAAGAAAAAAAAAAGAGCCAAGAGCAAGGATACAGATATGGCTCAATACATTGTTGCATCATACTCCGCATGCTAATAGAGGGGGAGGGGAGGGGACAGGGTCATCTGAGGACAGTTTCCTCTCCAACCCGCTAATCTGTTAAGTTTTAATCAACCACAAAGTCCACAAACACACACCCTCAAAGGAAAGAAAAAAAAAAAACCTGGACAAATCTAAGGTAAAACGTTGAGTTGTATAAATAAATTTGGAACTTTCTGGTCCAGCTCCACAGCTAGCTAGCCGTTTGGTGAAGGGTCCTTTCAAGAATAGGAAGTAGTCAAATCGACTTATTTTAACGATCTAATCTCACTCTCAAAATTTTTCAATGTGTCACACTCCGATTTTGAACGGAGTTCTCGCAATTGATGTGTAGACAGAAGGACTCTAATCCTGACCCGGCTGACTCAAAGTGTCGGGTCAGTTAATGAACATTTAAAAAAAAAAACAACAAAAAAAACGCCGTCTGAAAACCCCTGTCTACCAGTTTACGGTGCAGTATTCGGCCCACACGTCTGTGGGGCTCTAGAAGCTTTGGGGAGGGAGGTCTGAATCACTATCATTCTTGGCACGTGGATGGCACTCCCCTCCCGGCCCAGATTATTTGTGAAAGAGGGAAAAAAAAAAAAAAAGTCCTCAGCATTACTGAGGACGGGAATCCCCTGCTTGCCGAGACTCCTCCAACAAACAACCCAGCACAGAAGATGTACTAGGTGCTCAATAAATGCTGCCTAGATGGAATTTCATTACGCAAGCTGCCAAGGCAAAGTTTCCAGAAATTAGCTCTTCCAAAGACATCGCTTCACAGCTTGCTTGCCAAAAGGGGAAAATATAAAATAAAAATAAAATTTAAGACCAAAACCTTTTCAAAGTCAAGGGAGAGGACATTTTTGAAGTTAACAGGGGGCCAAGAGAAGGGCCGGCTCGGGTTAGACCCATCAAATCGGTTCGAATCCTCCAACCCTCCGTTCCCATTTCTTCGCCTGGCCTCCTGCGTGCTGACCTCGGTCTTTCATCCTATCTCTCTTCCCGAAATCTTAAATCTCTTCCGGCCACACACACACACGCACACACACACACACACACACACACACACACAAAGTGCGGGCGGGCCGCGGGGCTCAACCTACCTCTCCTCCCCACGACCCGTGGCAATTCTTCTTCACTGCGGATGGCTTTTTTAAAAAAATCAAATAAAAACAATCCTGCTGTCTTTATCTTGCTAGGGACCCCCCAATCACAGGGGGCCGGAGCGCGGGGCCGGCCCCCATGGGCCCCTCCAGCGGACGGAGGCGCCGGCTCTCCGGTAAAGCACTCTGCCGGACCGTCCTCCTTCCCGAGCCCCTCGCACGAGATCCAAAGCGCACAAGTCCCGCTCCCAAGAGCCCACGCTTCCAAACAAGCTAGAAGCGGATTATACCGGTACCCAACCCGGAGATGGCCCGCGGCGCCCGGGTGCACCTGCGGCCCCGGCCCCTCCCCGGGCGCGGGGAGGGGGGCGGAGCGCGGCCTCCCCGTCCGCCCCCGCCCCGGCCCCGGCCCGCGGGCTCCGCGCGCCGCCCGCCCGGCGCGGGGGGGAAGGCAGTCCCGGGCAAGTTCGCGGGCTCACCTTCCGGGCCCCGAGCCGCCCAGGCCGGACGCCCGGCAGGCACCACCTCCGGGGAAGCCGGGGCAGCCGGGACCGCTCTCCCCGCCCCCTCGGGCTGGGCGGGAGAAGGCCGGGCGCGGCGCGCACGCCCCCGGGGGTTTGGGGGGGGGACCTCGGCCGCCACGCCGCTCGGACCCAGAAGGCGGCACCGAGCCCGGGCCCGGAGCCGGGCCCGCCGGGCCGCCCCCCTCCCATCCCCAGCCGCCCTCCCCGAGCCCCGGGCGGCGCGCAGCCGGGCAGGCCGCGGGCGCCGGGATGGCACGTTCCGGGCGAGGCTTCCACCTGCGCCCCGGCCCCGCCGCCCCTCCCCGAGTTCCGGCCCGGCCCGGAGGGGCGCGCACCCACCTTGGGGGGCGGCTCGGCCACCGAGCCGGGGCTTAGGCCGAGGCGGGGGGTGGCGGCATCACCCGCGGCGGGCGGCGAGGGCGCGCGGGGCCCTGGGCCCGGTTCCCGCGGCCCCGCCCGCGGCGGCCACCTCGGAGCGCGGCGGAGGAGCCGGGGCACCACGGGCGGCGGCAGCGGCGGCGGCGGCGGCGGGAGCAGCAGCACATGACGCTGTAGCGAGGGGAATCAGACAAAGCGGAACATGGACTCCGGGCCCCGAGCCGGCGCCGCCGCTCCGGGACCAACCGCCGCCTGCGAGCGCCGCCACTGGCCCGGCTGCAGCCAATGGGGCGGGCCGGGGCCCCCATGTGACGGCGAGCCCCGGCGGGGCGGGCGCCGCCGCGCCCTCGGGGGTCCCCGCGGCGTCCGCGGGGGGCTGGCAGGGGCGGGCCGGGGGTCTCGAGGGGGTGGGCAGAGGCGCGGCGGAGGTCCAGCCTGCGCCCGCGCGGGGTGCGCAGGGGCGGAGAGGGGTCCCGGGGGGGCGGGCCGGGGGCTCTAGGGGGTGGGCAGGGCCGCGGCCGGGGGCCAGGGGGCGGGCCGGAGGTCCTAGGGGGCGGGCAGGGGCACGGCGGAGGTCGGGGTGGGGGCGGACGGGAGGTCCGGGCTGCGTCTGCGCGGGGTGTGCAGGGGCGGAGAGGGGTCCTGGGGGGCGGGCCAGGGTCCTGGGGGTGGGCAGGGGCGCGGCGGGAGTCCCTGGGGGCGGGACGAGGGTCCCAGATGCCTTGGCCCGGGTGCGCAGGGGGGGGGGGGCGGAGAGGGGTCCCGGAGGGCGGGCAGGAGCGCGGCGGAGGTCCCGCGGGACAGGCCGGGGGGGTCCCAGCTGCGTCCGCGCGGAGTGCGCAGGGGCAGAGAGGGGTCCCGGGAGGAGGCCCCGGGGGCTGTGGGCCAAGTGTGGCGGCTCCAGACCGAGGACCCGTGGCAGGACGCCACCCCAACGCGGAGCAGGTGCACCAGGCGTCCAGAAATCGCCGCGAGCGATCCAACGACCCGGGACGGGGACGAGGACGGGCCCGGGGCCCAGCCGTCGGTGGCCTGTATGGATGGAGTCCTGATCCCGGAGCCCCGTCTTGCCTGCAGAAGAGGTCCAGGGGCTGACTGAACAAGTCGGATATTAAGAATTGGGGGAGGTGGGTGGGCAGCGATGTGAGAAGTCACGTAAGTGCCTTCCGGCTCTGGGAAGAGAGCATCCTGAGGACTCGGGGCACACCCAGGGCCTTCGCTGCAGTTCCCGTGCTGCTGCTGGTCTGCCCCTGCCCTGGAGGCTGTGCTGTGCACGGTAGAATTTTGTTTTCTTCAAAATGTGACCCTTCCCCCCCCCACACACACACACACCATTCTTTTTCACAGAAGATGCCTTTCCCAACCAAGCAGGAAGAGGAGAAAGTTGTTGCGTGTGAAGAGATTTTTTTTCCAAGGTGGTAGAAGTCCCACTGAATGATGGAGCTGCCTTGGCAGTCTTTTGGCCCCAGGGGAAAAGAGGATGGGACAGAAACAGAACCATCCAGGATTTCCGCAATGATTTGTTTCAAACAAAACAAATGAGCCTATCCCACAGTCCAATATCCCCCTCTTATCTGAATTCATTATTGCTGGGAAACAGTGGCAGGTCTCTTGTCTCTTCTGCAAGAAATCGCCCTGTTGGTATACATTCAACCCATACTCGTAGTACGCCAGCTACCCAGGAAAGGGACCTTGCCACAAGGCCTTATAAAGAATGCTATATTGTGTGTGTGTGTGTGTGTGTGTGTGTGTTTGCACACGTGGGCAATCATACCTTTACTGCTACTTGAACTCAGGGCCTATGTGTGCCCTCTCCCACTTTTTGCTGGTATTATTTGGAGATAAAAGTCTCATGAACTTTCCTGTCTGGAGTGGCTTTCAACCTCCATCCTCAGCACTCAGCCTCCTGAGTAACTAGAATCACTAGAGCCTCTGGCACCCAACATAAAGCCTGTTTTCTAAAGCTTTAGGAAAGTTCCAGAAAGGAGGTGACAGAACTGCCCCCTTATCAGGCCCTGGAAGTAGAGAAAACAGCCTACACAGGGAGCGTGTAAGCAGAAAGAGTCCACACACATGCACGTCTGATTGCCATAGGCAGGTTGCAAGGTGACCCAAGATTGGAGCTCATGCTCTCTCCTCTTGATTTCTCACTTTCCTTCCCTAATCTTCCTGCCTGCAGCCTCTCCAATAACGTGTGCCCTGCCAACAAGGAAGTGTGTGGGCACCACGTGTGTGGCAAGTGATCTAATTACAGTCTCAGGTTTGCTGATCTGGGAGGTTAGAGCAGTTTTAAATCTACTAACTTGTGATAAGATATCTTGATTGAAAACATCATACAGTTTAGAATGTTTCACTTTGTCAAATAGCTCTTGTACTTCGCTTTAAAAAAAAAATCTAGGGCTGGGAAGTTGGCTCAGTGGTAGAGTGCTTGCCTTGCATGCTCAAGGCCCTGGGTTCGATTCCTCAGCACCACATAAGCAAAAAGAAAAAAGCCGGAAGTGGCGCTGTGGCTCAAGTGGTAGAGTGCTAGCCTTGAGCTGAAGAGCTGAGGGACAGTGCCCAGGCCCACAGTTCAGGCCCCATGACCGGACCCAAAAAAATAAATAAATAAATAAAAATCTAGCAGCTGGACGTGGTAGCTCACGCCTGTAATCTTAGCTACTCTGGAGGCTGAGATCTGAGGATCACAGTTCAAAGCCAGCCTTGGCAGGAAAGGCCGAGAGACTCTGATCTCCAATAAACCACTCACAAAACTGGAAGTGGCTGTGGTTCAAGTAGAGTGCTAGCCTTGAGCTGAAGAGCTGAGGGACAGTGCCCAGGCCCAGAGTTCAAGCCCCACAACGGACAAAAACAAAAAGTTCTCCCTGGTTTTAGGATGATTCCAGATTAGGAAAAAAAAAAAAAAAAAAGGCTTCGAGATTAGTACAAATTGAGAAACTAAAAAAATTGATAACTCAGAAAACAAATATATCTGGTGCTGCTGTACACACCTGTCATCTCAGCTGCTCTCTAGGCTGAGAAAGGAGGCTGAGTAACAACGTTAGACCCTTGACAAAGAAAGAAAGGAAAGGAAATAAAGAAAGACAATTTGGAAAGGTTTTTGTTTGCTGGTACTGGGGCTTGAACTTGACGATTCACACTCTTTCTTGGATTTGTCTGTTGGGGCTGCTTCAAACCTCAGGTCTGTCTCCTGAGACGCTAGGATAAAGTATGTATATTCTTTTTGAAAGGCAACTCCATATCTGGAAATTTAGATTTTGGCAATGTTATATGTCAAGAATATTTATGCACATGTACAAAAATATGTATGTTACAAGCTCGGCGCCAGTGGCTCATGCCTATAGTCCTAGCTGCTCAAGAGATCTGAATATTGAGGTTTGAAGCCAGCATAAGCAGAAAAGTCCATGCAACTTTTACCCAATTAATCAACAAAAAGTGGAAGTAGCCGGGCACCAGTGGCTCCTGCCCGTCATACTAGCTACTCAGGAAGCTGAGATCTGAGAATTACGATTCAAAGCCAGCCCAGGCAGGAAAGTCCATGAGACTCTTATCTCCAGTTAACCACCAGGAAACCGGAAGTGATGCTGTAGCTCAAGTGGTAGAGCCCTTGCCTTAAGCTGGAGAGCTCAGGGACAGCACTCAGGACCAGAGTTCAAGCCCACGACCACCAACAACAACAAAATAAAGGAAGTAAAGCTGTGGCTCAAGTGGTAGGGTGCTAGCCTTGAGCAAAATAGCAGCTCAGGGATAATACCTACCCAGACTCTGAGTTCAAGCCCCAGGACCAGCACCAAATATATATTTACTCAAGTACTATTTATAATAGTGGAAACTACTTATAGTAGTGAAAAAATATTGTAAAAGTTTAATAATAAAACCCCTACAAGGAGCTAGCTAAAAGCAAGTTATGTTAGATCGGCAGGGGAGTTTAAGCAACTATTAACAAAAAATAAAATCCATTTGCATCTGCATGGAGACATGTCCACTATGATCCCATTGGTTTTGTACTAAACATATAAATATTATTACTCTGATGCTTAGAAGAATGGTGGATATCTCCGGGTATGGGCCCTGGCCAAGACCCATAGCCCAGAACCTTTCATTATGTTACCAAGTTGTTTATGTTTGAATTCTTTTTCTAGTGAGCACATTTTGTATGCATAATGAGAATATAAAATGATTGTCTTCATCCACTCAGTTTGCTATAAGAAATATCCTAAACAGGTAGCTTATAATCAACAGAAACTTGTTTCATACAGTTCTGGAGACTAGGCCATCCAAGCTTAAGGCACTGGTAGGTGCAGTGTTTGGTAAAGATCTCTGGTTCATAGAACGTGCTAGCGCACTGTGTCCTTATGAGATCAAAGGACCAAGAGAGACTCAATACCTCTC